GAATTTTTTCCGTCTAAAATGCAGTATTCTAGACGGAAATTCCGTCTAGAATATTCCGTCCAGGATATATTCTAGACGGTTTTGAATTCCGTCTAGAATATTCTGTCTAGGATGTATTCTAGACGGAATTTCCGTCTAGAATACTACATTCTAGACGGAAACTTTCTAGACGGGTATTCTAGACGGAATTCCGTCTAGAATACACATCCTAGACGGAATTTTGAGTATTCTAGACGGAATTTTCCGTCTAGAATACCTTATTTTTTACTTGTGATAGCTCGAGCTATGATGACAAAAAAGCACACTTATGTAGGGCATTAGAATTCACCTTAGAATTCACCGCAATTTTGCATGAGAAATATTCTGATAGAATTTGCTTACTTCAACCTATCATTCTAATAGTAAGACAATAATATTAATGGAAGTGTGGCCTAGTTAGTATTACTTATGGGGTTTTTGCATATCTACCCTTCAAATTTACAAAATGCTAAGGAGTCTTATCTAACAAACTGATGAAGCTTTAAAATATCACTTTAGTTTTTAAAAATCATAAAAATTGACACCATTAATTGCTTGGGGTAGAACTATTCAATGTTAAGAGTTTGCGGGAATAATTTTGCAAATATAGAAATTTTGAATGACAAATATGTAGATGTTGGGGAATTTTAGTTTCCCCGCCTACTACGATTTGCGCAACTTGGAATCCAACCACAATCAACAAGATATAAAATAACCATAATTAAGAAGAAATAACACTGAGATTTACATGGTTCTGTTGACCAACTTCAACCTATGTCCACGGGCAACAATACGAGAAATTCACTATGTATCAGAGAGAACTACAAGAGAAACCACTCAACTCTCGTCTCTGAATCTCTCAACCTCACATACATAATCAACTCTCATATTATCTTCAAAACTCATTCCTTACAATCTTTGGAACGGATAAAGACTGCGAAACCCTCTCCCAATGATGTAATCTTTTACACGGATAAAGACCACGAAACCCTCGTCTCTCGCACAATATTCTTGAATCAGGTTACGTCCTCTGCTAACCCTAAATTACAAGAATATTAAAACTCTCTCATCTGCTTGGTTTTTCCTCCAACAATAAAAGAATATATATAGGAAAACTAAAAATCCCATCTCTAGCCTAACTTCCTAATTAGAGTAGGATTCAAACTCCTAATTATGATGAGACCCAATCTCCTAATCATGATAGATCTCTAACCCTATCTAATTCTCATGAAGTTATACAAAGAATCAAAGATATGATCCCAACAATCTTCACATTGGATTTGATTCCTAAACTCCATTGAAGATATATCATCCCAGTCTTAAAACTTTGTCTCTCATGCTAGGGTCTTCTATTCTTTTACACTTCAAATCGAAGCACCTGCACTCTAACTGGGACGTCCCGTGACACTCACTATCATCTACTTCGTCGTGGCGCCTCCACCTCTCTTGTGCACACCAAGAGATCTTCGCCACCTTTGACATTAGAAGTAAATCAACCATGCTTCTCCTTTTGAACTGGACTTGACAGTAGCCTTCCCCCATTTGCTTTCCTTGTAGTCCATCTGCATCGCTCGTTTCAAACTATATCGGTGCACCTCTCCTACTCCACACTACGATCCGAATGCCTCTATCTCCTTCATCACTTGGCTTGAGCCGAATATGAGCGTTCATCGTCTTCAAGTCCAATGTCACCATCTCCATCTCCCTGTGTATCACTCGGTCGCGCCTGCTTGAAAGCTCCACCTAATCTAGCACTATGCTCCTCGAGTCTACACACCAACCAACTCTTGCTCCTGCGATGACTCTGAATAATTATATGCTGATAACTCTACTACTAGAATCATGTTTGATTATCTACACCAGTCTCATCCGTCGCATACTTGTTTACCCTATCTACCATAAGATCTGTCTTATTACTATCATCAGAACTTATCAGCACTTTTTGACTAATCTGAGCATAATCTGAAAAATCTAACCCTTACATCGTGTTTACAGCACTCTAAAACTCAAAAATCGACCCTAGATCACTACATTTTGCCTCTGATTCACCCATCTGCTGACGAATAATCATGGACCATCGGATTAAACAAAACACCAAACACCACAAATCAGCTAGCACTAGATCAACATGAAATCCCACCCACTTGATTGATACCTTTCATTCTCCCATAAATCTCGTGGAATGCTACAGTAATTTTTCCTTTTCCTTTTTTTCTTCATCTTGATTCTTGTAAAGCCGATCTTCAATCTCGCATGACGATGACTTCTATCTTGAAAACTAACTCCTGGATTCATAACCTGGCTCTGATACCGCTTGTTGGGGAATTTTAGTCTCCCCGCCTACTAAGATTTGCGCAACTTGGAAGCCAACCATAATCAACAAGATATAAAATAATCACAATTAAAAAGAAATATCACCGAGATTTACGTGGTTCAGTCAACCAACTTCGACCTACGTCCACGGGGAACAATACGAGAAATTCACTATGTATCAGGGAGAACTACAAGAGGAGCCACTCAACTCTCGTCTCTGAAGCTCTCAACCTCACATATATAATCAACTCTCATATTATCTCTAAAACCCACTCCTTACAATCTTTTGAACGGATAAAGATTGTGAAACCCTCTCCCAATGATGTAATCTTTTGCACGGATAAAGATCACGAAACCCTCGCCTCTCGCACAATATTCTTGAATCAGGTTACGTCCTCTGCTAACCCTAGATTACAAAAATATTGACTCTCTCTCTCTCTCTCTCATCAGCTTGGTTTTTCCTCCAACAATAGAAGAATATATATAGGAAAACCAAAAACTCTATTTCTAACCAAACTTTCTAATTAGAGTAGGATTCAAACTCCTAATCACGATGAGACCCAATCTCCTAATCATGATAGATCTCTAACCCTCTCTAATTCTCATGAATTTATACAAAGAATCAAAGACACGATCCCAACAGCAGTAGAACCCCCTATTCTTATTAATAATAAAAATTCTTTTACGAAGCATATGATGCATTATTTATGCAACATTTTTGTTCGTCTCAAACAAGCATCTAAATTTCTCATTATATCATTTAAATATAAATACAACGTGTTATATATAAGAATGATTTCGGATAGTTTATAAACAAAACAAAGAAATTTGATGAGTTGCTAGTCAGTTTTGTGTTAGTGGCTGTTTGGATGCTTTTAGGAAACTAGAGTATTTATGATACAAAATAGAAAGTGGTTATCCACCTCACCACTTTCCATTCGAGTGTTTACATTGTTTGGTTAGGAATCTTTGTGAATCCTAAAATAATAGTATTACATTGTTTGGATAGTATAATGTAAACTAGAGTATTTATGACACAAAATGGAAAGTGATTATCCATCTCACCACTTTCTACAAGGTTTTGACTTTTTTATTATTATTTTGGACACATTTATGATATTGTCTCAGCTTTCCAACAAAATCACTCTTATTTTGATGATTTTACTTTCGGTGACACCTTATCAAAAGGTGTAAGCTTTCCATGTAAAATAGAATTTAAACAAACAATGTAAAGTGATGAAAACCGACATTGGGACCCACTTTTTTACACTTTTTATCCTTTTACATAGTAAAAACATACAACCAAACAGCCCCTTACAAACAGATCTGACGACGAAAATAAATAAACAAAAGCAGCATTTATTGCACTCAACTTAGCTGGAACATTTTGACAAAATCTAACTGGAGAATTTATTGCTATGACTCCTTTTTTCCATCAAACACACAATTTGTCACGAGTGAAAATGCTGAGCGCCGGAATCTAAGCACGCCTTGAAAGCATTCGGTGGCCTAAAATCTCTTGAATAGTCTGACTTTGAACTATCAAAAAAAAAGTGGGTCAACGATCGAGATGAGACCGAAAAAGGAGGCACCTTTTTGCCTAGCGACGTCCTATGGCTCCTAGCAATTTGAACGAGAATACTTCGTTTGTCCCCCATCTTTTTCAGATTAAAAAAAAAAAAAAAACCCCACCTTCATTATTGAAACATGACCAAGTTTGTAGGCTACATATAACTTAATTCTCAAATCAAGATGAAGTGTGTCTGGGCAGTACGATCTCGTGAAGCAAAATATAGAATATCAAGGTGATAGATTTACAAGAAATATACAACAGCAACATCGCAACCAACAAGAAAAAGAATTAAAATGTTTTTATTACCGTGGAAACTAATAAAATTTCAATCCGAAAACTTCCAAAAGTATGAAGGGGGTAAAAAAAAGTGAGAAGATTTTCGTGGGCTCGAACCAGAATGTTTGCACATACTATGAGACCCTTAACTTACCCTGTAAACTAGTGCAACTATTTTTATCCCTAAAAACTATTTTTATCCCCATCTTACTCATGAACTAGTAAGATGGGGAATGAGAGAAAAATAGTTCATGAGATCAAAAAGAGAAAACTAATGTCTCACATAATCAGGTATATGATACTTAAACAGAAAATAACAAAAGAATATTATTCACGCATCAAATAGGATTCCCGTAACGTAACAATATCAAAAAAAAAAAAAAAAATCCCAAAAATAAAAACAAATAAGAAAATGTTGAATCTTCTTCAAGGAAACTTTCCCCTTTTCTATCTGACCAAATCCCGCGTTTCATTTTTTTTTTTTTTACATTTATCACTACCAATAACCCTCAGCTCACTCATTTCTCAAACCCACCACTTTTGACCCCTCCCTCCCCCTCTCTGCGCTCTCTCTCGCCAACCCAATGACTACCCAATAACCCTCAACTCTCTCTCTCTCTCTCTCATCAAACCATGAAACTGCTCTCCCTCCTCCTCGGCCTCCTCCTGCTCTTCTCTCTCACTGTAACCACAGCACAAACGGAGGCAGAAGCTCTCCTCAAGTGGAAGAACTCCTTACACCAACCAGCCTCCCTCGACTCCTGGTCCTCCTCCTCCACCAACTCCTCATCACCCTGCAAGTGGC